GGTCGAGGTGGCTTTGGTGGCAGCCGTGGTGGCGGTAGATATGGTGGCAGTGGGGATGGCTATAATGGATTTGGTAATGATGGAAGCAATTTTGGAGGTGGTGGAAGCTACAATGATTTTGGCAATTACAACAATCAATCTTCAAATTTTGGGCCTATGAAAGGAGGAAACTTTGGAGGCAGAAGCTCTGGCCCTTATGGTGGTGGAGGTCAATACTTTGCCAAACCACGAAACCAAGGTGGCTATGGCGGTTCCAGCAGCAGCAGTAGCTATGGCAGTGGCAGAAGGTTTTAATTACTGCCAGGAAACAAAGCTTAGCAGGAGAGGAGAGCCAGAGAAGTGACAGGGAAGCTACAGGTTACAACAGATTTGTGAACTCAGCCAAGCACAGTGGTGGCAGGGCCTAGCTGCTACAAAGAAGACATGTGTTAGACAATACTCATGTGAATGGGCAAAAAAAAACTCGAGGACTGTATTTCTGACTAATTGTATAACAGGTTATTTAGTTTCTGTTCTGTGGAAAGTGTAAAGCATTCCAACCAAGGGTTTTAATGTAGATTTTTTTTTTTTGCACCCATGCTGTTGATTGCTAAATGTAATAGTCTGATCATGATGCTGAATAAATGTGTCTTTTTTAAAAAAAAAATGGTATAAATACAGATGTAACAGGAGAATAAAAGGAGAACCTGGCTGGAGAACCTGACTAGAGAACCTGGCCAGAGAACCTGGCTATGCTGATCAACTGAACGCGGCTGCTTCTGTTTCATTCCTTCTTCGCCAACTCTGTCCACACCTTTGGGAACCCCTGGATCTGCTGGGATTGGACCCTAACAGATGTCCAACTACTGGTTTAGGCCCAATGCCTGTGGGATTGGGCCTAAACCGGCACTAGGACATCCCTCTCACAATCTGGGACCACTGGCTCCTAACCACTCACCTGCCTGCCTGCCTGATCACTCCTAACCACTCTGCCTGCCTGCCTGATGCCCCTAACTGCTCCCCTGCCTGTCTGATCACTCCTAACTGCCTCTGCTTGCCTGCCTGATCACCCCTAACCTCTCTTCCTGTCTGCCTGATCACCCCTAACCTCTCTGCCTGCCTGCCTGATAGCCCCTAACTGCTCTCCCTTGCCAGCCTGATCACCCCTAATGGCCTCTGCCTCTGCCCTGCCAATGTGGTTTTGTCAGGCAGGACACCTAGAAGGTTGCCTGGAAGATGTCTGGTCTAATTAGCATATTACCTTTTATTAGTATAGATTATTTAGTTTAAAGACAACTTAATCGTGTGATTTAGATATTTTTTTTCTTCAAGATTTTACTAACTCTTGTCACATTTGGGGCTCTAAAAGTCTGGGATACTGGACAAGTATATTTTGAGGGATCTTGGAGAAGTTTCAGCACACCCACATGGGCATTTACAGGAGGCTTGAGTTGAGTGGCAATGTATGTATTATGGCTGAACCCAAATGGAGACTAAAGACCCAAGAAAGGGAAATAGAAATATTTTGAAAATAATTCACTTACTTTATACTTCTGTCTAGAGTTGGTCATAGATATTATAGATCCTTTCATAAAAAAGCAAATTACACACTGTTCATGGTGAAAGGGAAACTCATTGTTCTCTGTGGTTTTCTTTATTTTGGTTCCAATGATTTTAGAATCCTATCTAATAAAAACCTAATGTGCAAATCGACTGAACGGTGGAACGACCAATCACTATGAAACACACTGACCACCAGGGAGCAGACACTCAACGCAGGAGCTGCCCCCCTGGTGGTTAGTGTGCTCCCACAGGGGGGGAGACACTCAGCCAGAAGTTGGGCTCACAGCTGGTGAGTGCAGCAGCGGTGGCCGGAGCCTCTCCAGCCTCCACAGCAGTCCTGGACTGTGAGAGTGCACAGGCTGGGCTGAGGGACCCTGCCCCCCCCCACTCCCAGTGCACAAATGCCGTGCACTGGGCCTCTAGTTGTATAGAAGGAAAAGAAAACAAATTCTGTACCCTTTTATTTCTTGTCTTCTATTGCTTCATCCTTTTTCTTCATTCCACAGACTTTCTGTTGTGTCACACTTCAAAATCCACAAAACCACTTACTAAACACATGTATTTTTTTATGACTTTACCTTCACACACACACACACACACACACACACACACACACACACACACATTAGTATAAGGATGGTTCACATTTATTGTCAGAAAAATAAGGCAATGCTATAAGTATTTACCTACTTCAAAACCTGAAAGCATGTCCCCAAACTGAAAGAAAAGTAACACACATTTGAAAAATACTGGCAGTGTAAATTGTCATGTTCTCCTCTTATTCTAAACTTTATCTCTTACCTCCCTATTTTTTCCTCTCATTTTTTTACAGCTTTAAATAGTTCTAGACAATTTGGTTTTCTCAAACAATTTGGGCAGCAAAACCAGCAGTTTCAAAGGTAAAACAAGGAACGTTTCAAGGCAAACACAGAGAGCTCCTTATCTCCTCTTCTTCCAGCCATCTAAGACAATTAGGCTCCGGAATCAGAGCCCCAGCCACATGTTTGACCCACTGTCCTACTGCTGTGTACTAGCAGGGCCATTCATTATCTGCTCGCTGGCTATAAATGGGGAGGGCTGTCAGGCCCACACTTCTCAGTTCCTTGATGAAAGTTGACCTTGGACATTTCATTAACTACACCAAAGAATAACACATAAACCAATGATCAGATATACACAGAAATAAATCCAAACATATTGAATTCTAAATAAAGGTGTACTAGCAATGTCAGTGATACCCTGAATCTGCTGTCCTCCAGTGAGTGCTTGCGATGCTTTCTCCATCAGCTTCATGGCATTATTTACATGTCACCACGCAGCATCAAGCCAGTGCTGGCCACGAGCAGTCCCGCCCAGGGAATATTCGACCATGTAAAGAGCTGACATTGTTACAAATGAAAAGTATTTAATAACTCAATTAATGGCCAATAAAGGAAAGTATAGTTAGAACAAATAAATCACATTGCGTTGAAGAATGAGTTTTTAAATGGCCATTTTTCATTAGTTTCCTTTCTCATTAGGGCTCATCATAGATTCCATCTGCAGGAAAAAAAAAAAAAGATAGCCCAGTGACTATCACCAAAATTAGTGAATGCCTAAAGATGAGGAGAAATGACCAAAGGCAAGAGGCCACCATTGCTTCCCTTTGTATCTCTCTATGTGTCCAGTTCATGCACACTCCATCCTCTCATTTGTTCTGTCTGAAAAGTTTGGAGCTGTTTTTAACATTCCTTCTCTCAGGCCAAATCCAGCTCATCAGGAGATTCTCTGGCCCCCAGCTTTAGAAAATATTCATAATATGGGTATATTCTAGATATGCTCTGAAGTTGGGCTTCCTATTCAATATAATTGTTTGCCTTTGTACAAGCATCATTCTGAAAAAAAAAAAAAGTCCACAGGTTTTACCAGGTCTCAAGAGGTCCATGGCACGAAACATTTTAAGATCCTCTGATGTAGAAGATCTGGAGCTACCTTCTATCTGGGACCCTACAGAAAGCTAGTGTCAGACAATAATGTTCACTACTAAGTGGTAAAGGAAGCCTCTTTGTTTTGTTAGGATATGAGTCTTACAATGTAATTGGAATAATTCTATTGTTTATTTCACCACTCTCCCAGGATCTTCTCTCCTTGTTGCACATTTGTAAAGTACTCTTAAAATCATTTCTTGTTCTAAAAAGTTTTATTGGATACTAGAGGCCCAATGCATGAAATTCCTGCACGGGTAGGGTCTCTAGGCCTGGCGGGCAATCAGGGCCTATCAGGGCTGTCTCACCCAGTCCCTATTGGGGCTAGGCAAGCCAGGGCCTACCAGCTGCCAGCCAGGGCTTGGGGGCTTGCCAGACCCGGGGAGAGACCATGGGAGGTTGGCTGTGGGAGCACACTGACCACCAGGGGGCAGCTCCTGTGCTGAGTGTCTGCCCCCTGGTGGTTAGTGTGCATCATAGCAACTGGTCGACCAGTCATTCTGGTCGTTCAGTCAGTAATGGTCGCTTAGGCTTTTGTATATATATATAGATTACTCATTTCTAATATAGTTATGACCCTAATCTCAGAACACACCTACAAATCTGGGACACAGTTTGACTCCAGGACAGCTATGTAAGTAGAAGGAGAGTAGACACACAATTCCACACCAGGAAAGCTATCTGTAGATCCCTTATGCTCATGGCTCTAAGTTGGTAACAAAAGTAAGGTGATTTTAAGTATCTTTTGCAGGGTGCCAATCATCAGATTTACTATCTTTTTTGAGGAAACCTTCTGTGAAGGGTGTCTTGACCACTACCTGTAGGTACAAAGGACGTCATTAGCATGTCTTACCTGAATAAGCTTCTTATGGCTCTGCAGTACATGAAGAAGCCTGAAATTTCCTTCAAACTTTTTCATTAAAAGAGGACCTGTTTTATGTATGTGGTTTTTGTCTGTTAACTTTTCTCAGTCCTGGCTTGTTTTTTCACAGAAGCTTGCTTATCTCCTCTTTAATATCTGATTGTATGTTTTTGCACCTCGCTTCCTTACACTTGCTTAAGTGGACTATCAGATGATCAAGCTTCTCAGTTTAAGTTCTATTTGTAACATGTAGTTCCCATATTTATTTTTTTCTGTTTCTTGAGAAGCATTCAGAAGAATGTGTGTTTATGTGTGAGCATTTATATGTATGAGCTCTAAGTGATTAAAATCCCTGGATAACCTAGGAATTATAGACAGATTAGATACTACATCTTAGAAAATGATTTATCCAAATTGGTTGGAACCCTATAGTGTGTAAATAGGAAGATTGATGCTTTTTTTCTTTTTTAAAAAGAGAGGCTTTGCTTTTGTAACCTTTGACGACCATGACTCTTTAGACAAGATTGTCATTCAAAAATACCATACTGTAAATGGCCACAACTGTGCAGGAAAGCTCTAAGCAAGAGATGGCTAGTGCTTCGTCCAGCCAAAGAGGTCGAAGTGGTTCTGGAAACTTCGGAGGTGGTCGTGGAGGTGGTTTTGGTGGAAACGACAACTTTGGTCATGGAGGAAACTTCAGTGGTCGAGGTGGCTTTGGTGGCAGCCGTGGTGGCGGTGGATATTGTGGCAGTGGGGATGGCTATAATGGATTTGGTAATGATGGAAGCAATTTTGGAGGCGGTGGAAGCTACAATGGTTTTGGCAATTACAACAATCAATCTTCAAATTTTGGGCCTATGAAAGGAGGAAACTTTGGAGGCAGAAGCTCTGGCCCTTATGGTGGTGGAGGTCAATACTTTGCCAAACCACGAAACCAAGGTGGCTATGGCGGTTCCAGCAGCAGCAGTAGCTATGGCAGTGGCAGAAGGTTTTAATTACTGCCAGGAAACAAAGCTTAGCAGGAGAGGAGAGCCAGAGAAGTGACAGGGAAGCTACAGGTTACAACAGATTTGTGAACTCAGCCAAGCACAGTGGTGGCAGGGCCTAGCTGCTACAAAGAAGACATGTGTTAGACAATACTCATGTGAATGGGCAAAAAAAAACTCGAGGACTGTATTTCTGACTAATTGTATAACAGGTTATTTAGTTTCTGTTCTGTGGAAAGTGTAAAGCATTCCAACCAAGGGTTTTAATGTAGATTTTTTTTTTTTGCACCCATGCTGTTGATTGCTAAATGTAATAGTCTGATCATGATGCTGAATAAATGTGTCTTTTTTAAAAAAAAAATGGTATAAATACAGATGTAACAGGAGAATAAAAGGAGAACCTGGCTGGAGAACCTGACTAGAGAACCTGGCCAGAGAACCTGGCTATGCTGATCAACTGAACGCGGCTGCTTCTGTTTCATTCCTTCTTCGCCAACTCTGTCCACACCTTTGGGAACCCCTGGATCTGCTGGGATTGGACCCTAACAGATGTCCAACTACTGGTTTAGGCCCAATGCCTGTGGGATTGGGCCTAAACCGGCACTAGGACATCCCTCTCACAATCTGGGACCACTGGCTCCTAACCACTCACCTGCCTGCCTGCCTGATCACTCCTAACCACTCTGCCTGCCTGCCTGATGCCCCTAACTGCTCCCCTGCCTGTCTGATCACTCCTAACTGCCTCTGCTTGCCTGCCTGATCACCCCTAACCTCTCTTCCTGTCTGCCTGATCACCCCTAACCTCTCTGCCTGCCTGCCTGATAGCCCCTAACTGCTCTCCCTTGCCAGCCTGATCACCCCTAACGGCCTCTGCCTCTGCCCTGCCAATGTGGTTTTGTCAGGCAGGACACCTAGAAGGTTGCCTGGAAGATGTCTGGTCTAATTAGCATATTACCTTTTATTAGTATAGATTATTTAGTTTAAAGACAACTTAATCGTGTGATTTAGATATTTTTTTTCTTCAAGATTTTACTAACTCTTGTCACATTTGGGGCTCTAAAAGTCTGGGATACTGGACAAGTATATTTTGAGGGATCTTGGAGAAGTTTCAGCACACCCACATGGGCATTTACAGGAGGCTTGAGTTGAGTGGCAATGTATGTATTATGGCTGAACCCAAATGGAGACTAAAGACCCAAGAAAGGGAAATAGAAATATTTTGAAAATAATTCACTTACTTTATACTTCTGTCTAGAGTTGGTCATAGATATTATAGATCCTTTCATAAAAAAGCAAATTACACACTGTTCATGGTGAAAGGGAAACTCATTGTTCTCTGTGGTTTTCTTTATTTTGGTTCCAATGATTTTAGAATCCTATCTAATAAAAACCTAATGTGCAAATCGACTGAACGGTGGAACGACCAATCACTATGAAACACACTGACCACCAGGGAGCAGACACTCAACGCAGGAGCTGCCCCCCTGGTGGTTAGTGTGCTCCCACAGGGGGGGAGACACTCAGCCAGAAGTTGGGCTCACAGCTGGTGAGTGCAGCAGCGGTGGCCGGAGCCTCTCCAGCCTCCACAGCAGTCCTGGACTGTGAGAGTGCACAGGCTGGGCTGAGGGACCCTGCCCCCCCCCACTCCCAGTGCACAAATGCCGTGCACTGGGCCTCTAGTTGTATAGAAGGAAAAGAAAACAAATTCTGTACCCTTTTATTTCTTGTCTTCTATTGCTTCATCCTTTTTCTTCATTCCACAGACTTTCTGTTGTGTCACACTTCAAAATCCACAAAACCACTTACTAAACACATGTATTTTTTTATGACTTTACCTTCACACACACACACACACACACACACACACACACACACACACACATTAGTATAAGGATGGTTCACATTTATTGTCAGAAAAATAAGGCAATGCTATAAGTATTTACCTACTTCAAAACCTGAAAGCATGTCCCCAAACTGAAAGAAAAGTAACACACATTTGAAAAATACTGGCAGTGTAAATTGTCATGTTCTCCTCTTATTCTAAACTTTATCTCTTACCTCCCTATTTTTTCCTCTCATTTTTTTACAGCTTTAAATAGTTCTAGACAATTTGGTTTTCTCAAACAATTTGGGCAGCAAAACCAGCAGTTTCAAAGGTAAAACAAGGAACGTTTCAAGGCAAACACAGAGAGCTCCTTATCTCCTCTTCTTCCAGCCATCTAAGACAATTAGGCTCCGGAATCAGAGCCCCAGCCACATGTTTGACCCACTGTCCTACTGCTGTGTACTAGCAGGGCCATTCATTATCTGCTCGCTGGCTATAAATGGGGAGGGCTGTCAGGCCCACACTTCTCAGTTCCTTGATGAAAGTTGACCTTGGACATTTCATTAACTACACCAAAGAATAACACATAAACCAATGATCAGATATACACAGAAATAAATCCAAACATATTGAATTCTAAATAAAGGTGTACTAGCAATGTCAGTGATACCCTGAATCTGCTGTCCTCCAGTGAGTGCTTGCGATGCTTTCTCCATCAGCTTCATGGCATTATTTACATGTCACCACGCAGCATCAAGCCAGTGCTGGCCACGAGCAGTCCCGCCCAGGGAATATTCGACCATGTAAAGAGCTGACATTGTTACAAATGAAAAGTATTTAATAACTCAATTAATGGCCAATAAAGGAAAGTATAGTTAGAACAAATAAATCATGAAGAATGGAAGAATGAGTTTTTAAATGGCCATTTTTCATTAGTTTCCTTTCTCATTAGGGCTCATCATAGATTCCATAAAAAAAAAACATAATATGGGTATATTCTAGATATGCTCTGAAGTTGGGCTTCCTATTCAATATAATTGTTTGCCTTTGTACAAGCATCATTCTGAAAAAAAAAAAAAGTCCACAGGTTTTACCAGGTCTCAAGAGGTCCATGGCACGAAACATTTTAAGATCCTCTGATGTAGAAGATCTGGAGCTACCTTCTATCTGGGACCCTACAGAAAGCTAGTGTCAGACAATAATGTTCACTACTAAGTGGTAAAGGAAGCCTCTTTGTTTTGTTAGGATATGAGTCTTACAATGTAATTGGAATAATTCTATTGTTTATTTCACCACTCTCCCAGGATCTTCTCTCCTTGTTGCACATTTGTAAAGTACTCTTAAAATCATTTCTTGTTCTAAAAAGTTTTATTGGATACTAGAGGCCCAATGCATGAAATTCCTGCACGGGTAGGGTCTCTAGGCCTGGCGGGCAATCAGGGCCTATCAGGGCTGTCTCACCCAGTCCCTATTGGGGCTAGGCAAGCCAGGGCCTACCAGCTGCCAGCCAGGGCTTGGGGGCTTGCCAGACCCGGGGAGAGACCATGGGAGGTTGGCTGTGGGAGCACACTGACCACCAGGGGGCAGCTCCTGTGCTGAGTGTCTGCCCCCTGGTGGTTAGTGTGCATCATAGCAACTGGTCGACCAGTCATTCTGGTCGTTCAGTCAGTAATGGTCGCTTAGGCTTTTGTATATATATATAGATTACTCATTTCTAATATAGTTATGACCCTAATCTCAGAACACACCTACAAATCTGGGACACAGTTTGACTCCAGGACAGCTATGTAAGTAGAAGGAGAGTAGACACACAATTCCACACCAGGAAAGCTATCTGTAGATCCCTTATGCTCATGGCTCTAAGTTGGTAACAAAAGTAAGGTGATTTTAAGTATCTTTTGCAGGGTGCCAATCATCAGATTTACTATCTTTTTTGAGGAAACCTTCTGTGAAGGGTGTCTTGACCACTACCTGTAGGTACAAAGGACGTCATTAGCATGTCTTACCTGAATAAGCTTCTTATGGCTCTGCAGTACATGAAGAAGCCTGAAATTTCCTTCAAACTTTTTCATTAAAAGAGGACCTGTTTTATGTATGTGGTTTTTGTCTGTTAACTTTTCTCAGTCCTGGCTTGTTTTTTCACAGAAGCTTGCTTATCTCCTCTTTAATATCTGATTGTATGTTTTTGCACCTCGCTTCCTTACACTTGCTTAAGTGGACTATCCGATGATCAAGCTTCTCAGTTTAAGTTCTATTTGTAACATGTAGTTCCCATATTTATTTTTTTCTGTTTCTTGAGAAGCATTCAGAAGAATGTGTGTTTATGTGTGAGCATTTATATGTATGAGCTCTAAGTGATTAAAATCCCTGGATAACCTAGGAATTATAGACAGATTAGATACTACATCTTAGAAAATGATTTATCCAAATTGGTTGGAACCCTATAGTGTGTAAATAGGAAGATTGATGCTTTTTTTCTTTTTTATCATATGGCTTAATCATAAAAAGTTTCAGTACCCTTAAGTAATTTGATTTTAAGTAGCTCCAATAGATGTGAAATACATTAAGTAGAACAAGTTAAATGGGAAATTTAAGTGGAGACTACAGCCACATCTATGATGCAGATGGCTCAAATTTTTCACTCTAACCTTTTGTGTTCAGCTAATGCTGAACTCTGTAAGAAGCTCTTATTTGATAAAAGATCTTTCTTGTCCTTTCCTCGGCTAAAGATGATGACATTTTGAAAAATTTCATAAGAATTAGTTCAGCATATATTATAACTATGGAGAAGCAAAAGCTGTCTTCTGATAGTAAACTCGAGAGCCAGTCAAATGTCAACTGATCCAAATGGCTGCAAATAAAATGTCAGAATTAGTAGCTTTTGCTGAAAACATGGTACTTTAAATAGCTGTCAAGAACAGGACTCAGGGGTGAATGTGGTCACTCTGTGGATGAGAACTGCAGTCCAGAAATCAGAGAAGTATATGTACATTCCTTATTCTGCAAAGGAGAGACATTAAAAAATCACATACCTCTGGGCCCCTCAACCTCCTCCTCAGGATAGACCACCTTCAGAGCCCATCAATAATGCAATCTCCCTGTCATTGAGGGCGGGTGCTATAGGATCTGAACACCTGGGTACCAACACACACCCCCCACAGAGCCACCCCAGGCTCTTGTTACTAAGTAGATGCAACTTGTTGACTTGTTTATTAACTATTTATTTTCTTCTTCTCCTAGGACAGTCAGTGCTGTTGGCTCTTGTGCAGTTCAAGATCAGCCTTTCTTCGCTGGACCACAATCCCATTTGTTAATTCCAGTCAAACAGCTCTCTCTGCAGAGCCCCAAACTCCACTCTGGGCTTCTATTTCTCTATCCTTGATTACCTTGGTTCCCCAGCCCCAAACCAATTTTAATCGAGTTTCCCTCCTCTGATTTTTTAATAATACCTCAAATAGCAGTACTCTGCTGCAAACCTTGCAGAATGATTTAGTTTCCCCTAGCATAATTCTTTGCTCTTCTTATTTCTACCTTAAAAAAAAACTCATGCTAAAATCAATTGCTTCTGAAAAGGATATTAATCTCTTTCTTCTAGAGCCAGTCCCATTTTCACTTTCCTCATCTCTTATTCTGACTT